TATAGACACCAGTTGCAGGGGACAAAATGGGAAAAAGTAATATTTCCTTCAAATTATAAGTTAAGGGTAGTTTTTAAATGCTCTCATAATAGATGAATGGGTGAGTAGCAGAAAAACTAAATCAATAAATAAATAATGTACACAAAAAACATAAACAATGCAACTCCATGTCTAGCCTATACGCTAAGAAAAATACTTACAGTCTGTGAGTCCCTTGCTCGTTTCTGTCCTACAAATAAATTCTAAGAAAGAACTCTCTGTTCAGCCATCCACCACCTGCAGAAGTGGTACAGAGATTCAGAGGAAGAGAAAGGAAAAACAGAAAAGTCAGCTAAAATGAGTTTCTCAGAACACTAAGAACAGTGAAACCGTAGGAAAAAAATCCTTTAAAAGTTGATACCACGATTGGTAGAGAGAGACAAATCAGATACATTAGAAAGAACCTTTTGAAATGTAGAGTGTTTTTTAGAGTCAAAGCCTTGAACAGAACAATAATTTTAGGAGACTGAACCAAAAAAAAAAAAAAAAAACCTGCCTCATATCTTTATTAGTAGTAAAAATACTTATCCTCAGAGCCATCTATAAGGCCAGCATAATGGAGAATAGATCAGATTCATCACTAAGCTGGCCCTATACCTTGGATATCTGCATGTGACAAATATCATCTTGTGGAAGCAACTTGCAAGAAATATAGTCAGGAGAAATGTTCTACAGTATAGATTAAAACTCAAAAGAGTTCTACTAAAACAGGCGTCTCAAAGTCTTACATAGCAAATTCAGTAGCTACCTCCCATTCTTCCCAACCTTTTCTCCAAATAGGTACTGAACATATACGAGGTAAAAATCAATTAAACCCAATCACAGATGTTGAGGAGCTAATAGTCAAAATAAGAAAACCACTATGCAAAATATCGTGATGTGAAAATGCCAAAAATAGTAGTGTATTCAAAGTGTTAAAAAGGTATTGGAAGAAAAAGTACCTAATTCTTGCCTGTGTTTTTTCCAAAATTCACTGATCCACTTTTATTTTTGACCTCATCTACCGTCCTCTTTCCTGCTATACCAATTAACCTTTCTTCCACTTGTTCAACCTCTCGTATTCCTGGATCCTTCTACTCAACATTTACAGCCATGTTAAGCTTGTCTATGATGAGTAGCTAGAAGAAAATACTCTAAAAGTTATATTCACATTAATTCTATTATAAATAAACTATTTTAGCCATACGCAGTTTTGACATACTTTGCTTACATTTTTGATATTCAGGTATTGAAAATTTTTTTCACATGTTATTCTAGAGAGCTAACTCAAATCGTAGTATAAAATGGGAGCTAGAATTACTACTGACAATGTTATAGTGTTCCCAAATGAATCAGAGAGCTCTTAGAGAATATTGTTATGAAATGAATAAAAATATAAATGGTTTCAATACTTCCACTGTAAAATGTAATACATAACTGAAATATTAGGAAAAAACAAATATTTTTTTACCTAATCCTCACGTGTCATAAACAAAATGTAAATCACCCCGATTAAATTACTTAACCAACTTCTGCCAAGTATTTGCTGATTTGTCTTTTGGTTTTGCAGAGTTCATTTTGGTTAGGCAGAATTCATTGTGATTTTTTCCCACTAAACATTAACATATGACTCCCCTGTTATCTGTGCAGCTGTCATTCATTCACTCTTTCAGTCATTTATTCGACAAATATTTGACATATCTACTATGTGCCAGGTTCCTTCTACGCATGGGGAGATATAGCACTGAACAAAAAAATCAGTACCTTCATGGAACTTCCATTCTAATGGATGCATTCAACTAAACACACTTCTCAGCTGTGTGTCATTCCGAACCTCACTGAGGCAAGAAATAACCTCTTTCTGAACCAAGATCGTCCTCTGAAAACTGCCACACTCAGTCATTGCTAGGATAAGACTTAAAACTGCTGAACTAAAGAAAAAAATGAATTGTATACTTGAAACCTATATAATTTTATTCACCAATTTATTAACCTATATAACTTAATTACCCAATAAATTTAATTTAAAAATAAAATAAAAAGTAGGGCTTAATGCATCCTTTCTCTACTGCCTACCTGCTGGTGAAGGCACAGATGCTAACCAAAACAACCAACCTGAGCAGTTAGTCCTTTGCTGCAAAAACAGTATTTTCTGACGTAGCTGGAGGACCGTTTCCCTCCGTCCACATCCTATTGTTATTTCCCTTTCATTCAGAAAAGGCAAATCAATAACAGAGACCTTGACAATGGCTTATTTCATCCTTACATGCACATTCCCAACATGTGATATATCACAGGGAGGGACAGATTCAAGAAGCCTGACTCTAAAGTCCACGCTGCTCAGAATTACTGTCTTCCCACATATTGTATTGGTCAGAGTATCAAGTTAGTAGGAAATTGGTGAAAATCCCACCCAATCCAGCAAAGCCAAATGTGTCTAACACCTACTCCAAAATGGAAACTGGGTAAGAAAATCAAATTTTAGCCTTATGGAAAAGGAATTTCAGAGGCCATGTCAATTTCTAATTACTCCAGAAAGAAAAATTATGTCTACTATACAGTCGCAGCCACAACCATGGAATAACTGGAAAGCAAGAAGGGTCCCGTGTTTAAATGAGTCCACAATTTCAGTTTAAGGAAAAATAAGTTAAGAAAACCGCCTGCTATATTTGTTCATAATCATTAGCATTTTATACAGTCAGAATGCAACTATATCGTACGATACAGATGTCCCTCTTTCCGATGATCTTTGAAAAAGAAATCATTCCAACTTCCACATAAATTTTAAATGTTAGTAAATCTCATAGTTTCAAAATATTCTTATAGAGAAACACTGGCACATACAGGAGCAGTAGGTTATCAGAATATTCAGAAGGCAGGCAGCAGTTGGTTTATTAAGAAATTATTAAAAATAACTATCCAAGTTAAAAAAAAAATATCATACCTAAATCCTACCAGCTGCAGTTTACATCTCTCTTGTCTTCATTGTTAATCATAATAATGAAGAATTTCTCAGTCAATCACTAGTAAATTTCTCAGAGGTTCATAACATTAACTCTTTAATAGATTTTTTTTTTCTCCTTTTGGAACACGCCAGCACAAATCCACAGGCCCAGAATAGCCCAGGAAGCATAAGACAACTCATATCTACAAATCTGGCAGGACTCACTGACAGAATCTCCTTGTACACGTGTCTCAGTTAACCTGGCATGCATCGGTTAATATGACCTTAAATTAAACTGAAAATATTTGCACAGAGGATGGCATGTTTCTTTTATAAATACGTTAACCTGGCTTACCTGACATGTAAGTTTCTAATATAATGAAGGGAATCAAATATAAATTTCAACAACAACAGACTTTGATACTTCAGAAATACTTAAATTTAATCGTCAGTTTTGCTGCCCTTCACCTCTTTTAGGAATACTACTATAAACAAATGCTAAAAAATAAAAAATAAAAAATAAAATAATAATAATAAATGACAGGTTCAGCGTTTGATCCAGTGGGAAATCCTTTTCGTAGTAAAACAGATAGGGTGTGGTAAGTTTTGTCTAATAATACTGATGTATGCAAGAAGAGATTGGGGTGCAGGTAAGTCTTGGAGAGGATCTCTCTTCCTTCTCGCCATCTCGTGAAAATCATGCTGCATTTTTCAAGATCTAAATCAATCACAAGCCCCCTAAAAACCTCCGACTAGGGCCCTCAACAGAAGTAATCAAGACGCCCCTTCTCACTAGGAACATGTTGCTTATATTTCTAGTAACATATTTATTTCATCCTACTTCTTAATAAACATGTTTATCAGTCTCTATAACATAACAACAGATTAAATGCAGAAGCAAAAATGAAAATGCAGCTGTCTTTGTTTAAGACAGCATAGAGATTTGTAAAAGTGCAAAACAATGTCATTCTTCAGTATTTTTGTCTTGGAAAAGAGTCAAATTTCATTAACTTTATGATAATTTTCATATTAAAGGACATTTTTATTTCTTAGTTTTAATTTTTAATATGGTTAAGTACTGATACACTTAAGTCACAATAAAATATTTGAGAACTCAAAGAGCTTTTAAGAATATAAAATAGTCCTGATACCGAAAAATTGAGAATCACTATAGTACAGTAATAAACAATTTTTAAGTGGTACTAGGGAGAGGATAATCCTGATAACTAAAATAAAAAACACAACTTTTATTTTAAAAAGAATTACCATATGTTAATGTTTAGTTTTTCTTAGTGGGACACTATATTAAGCCTCTTTCTGGACCTTAAATTAATAAAGTTCACCAATAAAGAAAGGGCTGAGGCCAACACAAGTCACGCACAGGATTCCTGTACGTAATTGCTGTTTTTCTCCTTCCCATCATGATGCATCTCTAGTATAACCAAACAAAAAAGCAAGTCTCTTGTCTAACTTAAAGTATTGCCTACAAAGTAAACATATTAAACCTTGTCTCCTGCTCTTTCCTTATTCTATTGTTTTCATCATTGTGCATATAACATTGTAATACACAATTTACCTATTTATTATGTTTATTTTCTGTCACTCAACTCAATATAATATAATGTAAACAAGAGTAGGATTTTTTTTCTGATTTATTCACTAAGATATCTTCAGACCCTATACCTAAGACAAAACAGAAACAAAATAAATATTTGTTAAATGAACTCATGGATATTTTAGTGAAATAAAATCGATTCTGGCATTTTACCAGAGGAGAACAAACGTGTCTCGCCAAAGTAACACTTTCGAATGGCCAGCAGACACGAGCGCTATACGCACAGGACGAACACGGTGGCTGAAGGAAAACTCTCAGGACGGATCAGTTTTCCCTCTGGACCCAGAAATGAAGGAAAGATAAGGAAAGGAGAAGGATGTGGAAATAATCTGAACTGGAGGCAAGAGAAGTAGGTTTTTTTTCCAATCCTAGGGTTCCGGGAATACAAACAAAGAAAAGTAAGAGTAAGAGCAGCTAACCCACCTCTCTTCTCCCGATGTATTTCTTCCAGAAGCTGCTCTTGCCTTTCTATCTGTTCAAAGAGGCACTGGAGCTCGGATTCCTTGTTTTCAGTCATATTCCTGAGCTGTTGTCTGCACATCATTAGCTGGTGCCGCAGACTTTTTTCTCTGTTTTCTCTGTCTTTCAGTTCCTCACAGAGCCATTGAAGTTTAGTCTAAAAAAAAAAATGACATTTATATCTAATTTTAAAAAAAGAAAAAAATGTAGAAAACGGTAGCATTTCAAAACATTAGGAAAAAATAACATCGTGATAATCGGAACAAATATTGACAATAACTAACAAATTTAAGCAAAATAAAAAAATACACAGTGATTTACTTCAGTTGAAAGTTGGTACAGAAATTAACCATGATTTTCTTGGATTTTTATAAAATATTTTGTATTCTCTATCCTCTTTGGAAAGGCAGTACTAGAGAAAAGTTTGGCCTAATCCATAATATAATCAGTCTCCTTATTTGGTACATAAGGCAGTTTAATACAGCATTTGAAAATTAAAACCACCAAGAATAGGACTAGATACTTGTTGTAAAAGGGGATTTTATTTTAGAGATTAAAAAAAAGAAGAAAAAGTTCCTAGCTTTGCTCCCTAAAAATGCATAATCCCGGGATATAGCTAATCAAGTAGAAAGAGATTCTCTAGGTTGAGGGAAATAAAGTCAGCATTTGCCCACTTTGAAGAAACTAGAAAATTTAATTGAAGTAACCCTTTTTTAATGGACTCTAATCTCACCATCCTTAATATTTAATCTGTTCTCATCCAGTGATCGAACTAGAAATTTATAAAATAACTTCACATTTATCTTTTCTCAATGCTTTTCTACTTACTCTATCCCAATCTTTGCCTTGTTAACTACCATTGCTAAGAAATGGTAATGGAGAAATAAGAAATCTGTTTTGTCATAGCAATAATTCTATTACTTCTGGTAAAAACATAACAAAATAACCAAAAAAAAAAAAACCCAAAAACATGAAACAGCATTAATTGAATTTGATATGTGTTATGGACTGTGATATGTGTTATGGACTGAATTGTGCCCCCCCTCCCCAAATTCATATGGTGAAGCCTCATTGTGACTGTATTTGGAGAGAGGGCTCTCATCGAGGTAATTAAGGTTAAATGAGGTCATAAGGGTGATGCCTTACACCAATAGAGCTGGTGTCCTTATAAGAAAAGGAAGAGACACAAGGACTTATAAGCAAGCTTGCACCACCCCAGCTCTCTCCCTGATTTCAAATTCTCCAGCTTCTCCATTCCATCCCACTCCTGAAAGGAAGGTGGCATTCTATAAGCCAGGAAGAGGACTCACCAGAAACCAACCCTGGCAGTTCTAGCCTTTAGAACTGTGAGAAAATAAATGTCTGTTGTGTAAGCCACCCAGTCTGTGGCGGTTTGTTACAGTAGCATGAGCAGACTAATACAATATGACCTATGACTTTAGTTTATTCCTATGAAGCTTTTACTCTATTGCCACACCAAATTTAAAAATAGGTTCTAATTAGACACTTTTTATGAACTGAATATGTATGCAGAATATATTATTAAACCTACAAAACGAAATAGAACTTATGGAAATTTAATCAACCAAGAATCAATTATGAGAATCAGTGTTTGTTAAAGAAACACCCAGCATCTTTATTATGTATCTTGGAGTAACAGCTTGCAACACAGTATAGGAATAACTTTGACAATTCCAAATAATAATTAGCTGACAAGGCTATTAATCACGGTGCAAACACCATTCTATTAACTACTCACAAGAGTATCTTACAGATTCTATAATAGGCTCATTTACTTAACTACATCAACAAGTATTGCTAAATAAACCTAAATAGAGAAAGAATTTCTAAATAAGGCAGTTTTTTACCTCCAGAGTTGACAGCTTGCAATTAAGTGGAAATATTCATCATTATCTAGTAAGACGATCAAAATGATCTTTCAAATCTAGAAGAATCTCCTCTACTGAGATTTAGTATAATAATAAACTAAAATCATTAAGGAATGACTCAAAGCCAAAAACCATGGAAAACAGAATATTTGAATAAAAAGACTATAGCTGATAGTTAGCAATAATATTATGAACCATAATTTTGCTGCTTTTTAATTACTAAGCTTCCTTTGCCAAAACTCTAAAAAGAATTTTGAGAGGAAATGTTTATATAAGAACGAAGTATAAAAAAAGATGATGGCAATTTTTTAGAATGTGTTAGGTCGCCAAATCAAGAATTAAACTAAAACTGCAAAATTCAAATCTAAGTCAACCTCAAAATATAATTCTTTCAGTAAGTAATACTTTCTCCACTTTTCTACTTAGTTATGAATAGGGTCAAGAAGAAAGCAAACATATCTCCATAGTAAAATTACATATTTAAAAAATAACAAAATACTTTTCTCCAACTGAACTGAAGGTATTCCGTGTACACCATCTACAATATACTTTAACAAATAAATCAAGACACCTGAGTATTTGCATTGCATTTTGATATCTACAGCAGCAGGATAAAATACTAGATGATTATTCACATCCTTTAACAAAAATCAAATACACTGGGTCTAATACTTCTCATACAATGACTGTTTTAAAAATTCTATCTCACTAAAAAGACAATGTAAAGTTTATATTCAAGTGCAGGTTACATAATCAATGGAAAGAAACAACAGCACAGAGTTCAGAGACCCAAGCTCTAAACTCTTCTTAATAACTAATTAGCTTTATGTTCTCAGGTAAAACTCAAAACTCCCACGGCCTCTTTCTCATCTACAAAATGAGGAAGTCAAACTATCTGATCTCTAAAGTTGCTTCAGTTATATTACAAAAGCAGTAGGGAGAAGCAAATGCTTGTCGACACTTAAAACATGTTATATTCTAAAAAGCAGGACTCTGGGATGATAGCAAACAGGATAATGTAGGAAAAATCCCAAATAATTTGGAAGTATATTTCTTATCTATATAACCATAAAGTTTACAGTTCCGATAAAATAAAACCAATATTTGAGAATTAATACATTCACTGAAGTCTAATCTGCTTACTTTTTATTCTTTGGTGATATTGAAGCTGAAGAAGTAATATGAATAGGAAAATGAAGCAAGGCTAATATGACTACTCTTTTTTAAAAAAATTTATTTAGCATCTAGCCAAGCACTGTGGTCAAGTGCTATAAATGTAGTGAGGAACAGGAAAGACAAAGGCCTTTCTTCATAAAGTTTACAGACTAAAGAAAGAGAAGAATAAATGGGAATTTCAATAGTAGGATAAAGGCCAAAAAGGAAAAGATCCCTACAGCCAAAAAAGCACCTAAATTCATCTTTGTGCATCTTAAGGGAATAATTAGTACCAGACTCCCAGAATGAAATGTGTTTTACAAATACAGAGCACTCAGGATCCTGTCTTATGCTGCAGAGCAGTGGACACAAGCTTTTTTTTTTTTTTTTTTTTTAATTCACTATCATAAAAACAATAACTTAAGACCTGGGATCAACAGTGATGCTCACCAGTATTCTCTCCATCCTAAGGGTGCTGACCTGCTCTAGATTTTAGTGTTTGTCCCTATTTTCTCACTGTGAATGTCTTTGGTACTTCTCATTCCTTTCCAAGATTTGAACTTATACTCTGATCTGTAGTTTTTTTCCTGCTTCTGTTTTGGGCCTTCCTATTCAAATGGAAATTTCTGGATATCAATTCCTGTGGTGGAAACTTTTTTAACACTTCTGCTTGCTTGCCTATCTAGAACCTTGTACACTTGTCTATTCAGATACCAACCTTAACTGGGGTCTTCTGATTTGAACACTCTGGCCATCTCCTCCTCTGTCACCCTGTCACATACGATTAAACATCACTTGCATATTGTCACCAAAATACTACTCCAGTCTGTCTTCCTCTGAATCTCTACAATTTCCTTAATTCAGACTCTCATCTTACCTCACCCAGATCTGGTTCTCATTCAAAGACCTCTTAAATGGTCCCCCTGCGTTTGGTCTTCCCACCTCTAATCCACCTTTAATATCACTATCCAAGTGATGCCTCATATAAGTAAATGTGAGTGTATCACTCTCCGGTTCAAAACTCCTTTGTGATTCCCCATTAGATGAAGAGCTGAATTCAAACATTTAAAACGGCAGGCAATGCTCCCCTTGATAGACTAATCTCTACCTCTGTCTGGAGCTTCATCCCTGCCATTCTGTTTTACACTTGTATATTGTAGTGTTGCCAAACTACTTGGGCTTTCTTTACATTGATCATGCTATTTCTCTTCTGTGCCATTCCTATAATTATTTACTCTGCACGCATGCTCTTTCCTCTTTACCTGGCTAGCTTCAAGATTCATCTGAGGATCATCCTCCAAGGCGGCTTCTGTATACTTCTATCACAGTTCTTACATGTAATAGTGAAATTATCTACATAAGCGTCAGCTTTTCTAGAGAAAATATGTTCCTCAATGGGAAGGATCATGTCAATTCATTTTTATGTCTACAGCATACAACATAACATCTGGGACACAGTAGTTTCTCAATAACCTCTGTTAAACTGAATAAAATTTGGTCTCTGCATGCCTTGTCAAGATTCATGACAAAAACAAATCCCGAATCCCTGGGAACTTCTTGCCTGGCATTCCTTAACAACCACCTCAACACTCTTCTTCCCCATAATGTGTTATTATTCTTATATTTCATTAATTATTTTATCTGTGAGCCTGGCCCAACTCTTTAGTTAGATTTCATGTTTATGCCACCACTGCCAACAAAGCAACAGTGACACACAATCCCCATCCAACCCTATGTTCTTTTAGGATTAACAATGACAGAAGAAATTCATTTGGCAGATTTATGAAAACAATTACCAAATGCCCTCAGAGGTCCTTCTAATACTACAAGATGTCAGCATGGACTAGCTGAATAGCAATTCTACTTTCCATATCGTTTTTGTCCTCTGATTTCAGATCTTATCTTCAATACTTATAGAGCTGTCCAGTCATAGTTTGCGGGAATTACAGTAGTATATAGCCCATCAATAACCTAAGCCATTTTTCCAGTAAATAGATTCAATCCTTCCTTAGTCAGTTGGTCAGCATGGTATTACTTATCATGACCTTTTTACTCTGTAGAGTTAACAGTTGTCTCATGCAGCATTAAAACTCATCTGATCAGAAGTTCAATCCCATTAAATGATAAGGGAAAACTGCTCGCTAGCTCCCAAATTAAAGAGCTATGATTAAGAGTCATCTCTGGCTCTCATAATTTAACTGAACAACAGCAGTGAAAGCTTTCTGTTTAGAAATGATAAAGGTTTTAACTTGAAAGAAAATTCCAAGTACATTGCTCTTGTCAAAAGTGTGGAGTTGGTGAAAAGAAAAAAGAGAAATGCTTTAGGAATGCACATAGAAGTCTCTAGCCAAAAAAATTCTGGGACAACAAAAACTGTATATTCTAAATTTCCTATGTAGGTGGCATAAATGCAAATTTGTATTTGGTTCTATCAAAAATAATTAGAAATGCACAGGATCACTATACTTCAAGTAGGATAGAAAATTTTACAAGGTTGGCTACGTTTCAATGTTCAATCATAATTCTGTCAGTTTCTTATTAAGAATTTTTTGGGGGGGGGCTTCATTAATGCATATCTAACCTTCAAAGGTGAACCTTGTCTTTCTACCACCTCCTACCTGCACCTCACACACCAATCTCAGGGCATTATCTGTGTTTATTCACATATTCTCACCTTCTTGCCATCGTTAAACCTATAACTGGTCAACTGGAGAACATCCACATATTTTTTGTATGACTAAGTTTAAATATTGCATTTTTGCAGAAGCCTTTGTAACATGCAGGCAGCATAATACCCTCCCAACACAAACGTCATAGTTGGCTCTTCCTTCTTCTGTGTTCCTTTGTCAATGTTTACATAACAGTATAACACACCTTAAAGATTTTCAAAATTTGTTTATATCTCCATTTCCCGTATTAACTTCCATCGCTTGCTAACACTTATAACCCCATGTCTGTACACAAAAAAGGTACACAATCAATAAATCTTGGCTTAAAGAACAAAGACTTTAGATGGCAATACACATAATGGTAAGAACGTTAATTATGAGTCTGGCATAGCATGTAATCCATTTTATATGGCACTGGTAAAGTCAGAGACCTTCTCTGAAACCTCACTTTACTCATATTTTTAAATAATGACACTGTACAAACTTAAAGGTTCTTTCTTGCAATAAAATCCTAAGTTGGACAACAGTTGGCCAGGTTTATAATATAGTTGGTGTTCTTACAGAATTTAAATGGGATGAAAGATTTTCCATTTTAGTATGTTAAATAAATTTGAAAAAAAAACTAGTCTAAAAAGGAATGCAAGTGCTTAAGTATTAATACTTGAACAAAAAGATCTATATCTTATGTGGTCATAACTTTCTACATATTTTAATTTCTATGAATTTCTATATACCTTAATATCTATATTTTTGAATTTCCAGTTCATCTGATATATGAAGATAGCTGATAATTATCCCAGTGTAGAAGAATCTTTTTGATAAATTAGCAGATTGTTCACTTTTACTTATATGTACTTACTTTCCATTAAATTCAAGTCATAATGTCAAAGAACCATGAAGCAGGAAAGTTATCTTCAGAACATAAAAAAAGGAGAAGAATTTGTCCCTCTGACAATCTAGTTTTAATATTTCATGCTTTATCTTCCTTTATTCTTTCATTCCACCCCTATATATTTAAGCTAATTTTTAAACATTAAACTACAGAAACGTGAAGATTTCTTAAATGTATTACAATGATATCTTTCCCAGCAATGAAATACTACAGATTCATATGCTCGGTTATGTGACAAAATATATTGCTAGCCCAAATAGGATATCTTGATGGTCATAAATATTATGATAACTTCAGGATTCAAAGATTAATTACCTTGCTTTCTGCTAACCAGCGATGTGGGTCATAATTAATATCAGGAACAGATGAAAAAACCTACAAAAAAGAGGAATAGTCTATTAAAAGCAGATTTTTCCCTGAATTGAATTTACATAAATGAAATTTTTCACCATAACATCCAAAAGTTTAGTGCCTAAACTTAAGGATTTAAATAGAAAAAAGTTCATACTAAGTACTCAACCAATTCTAAACCACCATTTAACATGTCTATTTATGTAAACATGTATATATTACATATGTTTTGACAGTAAATATTTAGCTCAAATACAGAGACGTGAATCAGCTTTCAAGGGCTATCATTGCTAGAATCTCTAGAGGCTGATTCCACAGAGTTCTGCATGGCAAGCAGCCTCAATTAAACCAGTTTACTTCATTTTTTATGTTTTTTTTTCCCTCGGTCTTGCTCCATGTAATATATTTCACAGTGGGTTAGATGTAATAACATGGAAACTTAATTCTTTGTCTCATTTATTCTTCTTTAATTTTATACCATGAAGGCCATTTTGTCTCATTAATGGTTGTGTAGAACTGACAAAAACTAATCAGCATGACTTCACGTAAACATTGCTTTATATTTCATGATGGTAACAAAATCCTACAATAAATAGGTTGTCTGTACCAGCTGCCTTGATTTCCTTCACACCAACTCATTTATAAAATCATTGCCATCTGGTTCTGTATTACGACTCATAAAACTGTACTCAAAGGTTGTCAATGATTTTACGATTGTAAATACAAATTTTTCTCAATTCTTATTTTTGTTGAAACTTGTGCTACTTTGTGCTACATTTTTGCAGGACATGTTCTGCTTAAAAATATCCCATCCCTCTGCAAGAGAAGTCTGTTCCTATTCTCAAATACTTCCATATTTACTGATGTGTGTGCACGTCACTCCCTTACAAAATATCATTGGGTAATGCATTCAGACATATGATAAATGCATAATGAGTGCCGACCACATGCCATATACGAGAGTGTCATATTCTTATACCCAACTCTTCCCTCATCTACTTTTCTCACTCTCTAAATCTCACCCAACTCTCATGCCTTCCCTGCCTTTTCATTGAAATTTTCCCCAACCACTCTAGTTCATAGGGAAATTTTCTGATCCAAGGCCTAATATCTTTAAGCTCTACAAATGAGTGAATACTCAGACCAAGTGTTATGGAAAAGGCTCTTGAATTATCAAAGATCGGTCTGAGTAAATTAGGTATCTCTAATTCGGACATTTTCCTAAATGTTTTATAATGGTGATGGTTTATTAAGTGTCCTTCCTTAAGTTTTCAAATAGTAAAGGCATTTACTAAAATAGAATAATATATATGGTGGCTGGAAAAAAATGTAATTGGAAATAATACCAGTATTCCCAAGACTTGTCTCAGGCACAATTGTTATGTATCTATTAATTAATCCATTCCGTAACAGTCACTCTCTTTATAAAATGGTTGAAAATTTCATCAGCAATATTTCAAAAATCAACAAATAGCAAAGAATAATTGGAATTATTCCACTTTAGAGAACATTTTTCAAAGACCACCACTCTCCTATAGATCTCTGAACTATAAAGCCAAGAATCAATTTTATTTTAACAAATACCTTGGGTGGTTTCTTTGAGGTGAGGGCAAATTTTATATTCTTGGATATTCTTTTTTTTTTCAAGTTCACGGGAATGAAACAACAGAAGTTATAAATGGAAAGAGACTCACAATGAAAGAATTGTACTCTTAAAAAATTTTTAATAGAACTTGCATTCTTTTAGATTTATTTTCGACCCATCACTTGGATTGAAGTAGTTTTTCTTTAGGAAAAGGGGTGTGAAGATCCATTACCACAATCGTTCCATTCCTGAAAGCCCTTTAAAGAATAGGGTGCTTTTCAGAAGATGTTGGAAGGATAATTTGTGCCTCATAAATAAAATATTTAAGAAATATGATATGTGCATACTACGTTTTAGCCTGTAATTGCCCATAACAAGGTTTATATATCTTATAGCACACTCCAAAGGTTTCCATTTTTACATCTCTACTTGATTGAATACAAGTTGTCCTGACATTAACACTTAAGTATAGAATAAATACTGCATTGTAAATATGTGACTCTTTTAGATAAAATCAAGATCTCAAAGCCACACATCCCTTAATATAAGTAAACAACACAAATCTTAAATACAGCAGTATTAGACAGGAAAAAGAATAAACCAGCCTTATATCAGACCCTATAGTAAGACTGAAAGAGTTTTTGTCTCTAAAACCAATTACTTCTCATATTGGGCTCATAGTCCTCCCCAACTTACATCTGAGCTGTTTTAAAAATGCATATAGAAATACATATTGTAGAAACTCCATCAACTCCACCAAGTTCTATCAGTTGAAATATTTCCGATAAAGTTGAATCCTAAGCCACCTTCAACTGCAAGAGTAGAATTATAGTGTTTCTTTAAAACACCACTTAAGAAAGAGAAGAAAAAATGGGAAGGAAGAGCTGGAAAAAAGAGGGGAAAGTAGTATGAGATGGGAAGATCATTTTCTATGAGGAAAAAGATGAATGACAAAATAAAAAGAAACACCTGAAAAGTATTTTTTTTTTAGAAAGCCCTTATTGCATAATTTGAGTACTGTCACATCATCAAATGAAATAAATACAGGGGTAAATGAGAGCTAAATGTGTGTTAGTTTATACCATATCAAGGCAACGCAGTGCCCTCTACATGTAACGTAGCAGCACTAGAACCTAGCGTTAATAGAGGTGTCTACTACCTTCAAGGAATTAAGAATATCCATGATTACTTCAGTTTTTCTTTCTCATTTCGCTAGAGCTATAAATTGAGTAGCAATATTCCATTTTAAACATAGAAAAACTAAATTAAAATAAATAGAGAAGGCAAATAGCATAGTGTTACTTGTTTAAGCTCTGCTGCTCAACTCCCAAGGTTTGAAGTTCTAGTTCTAGCATTTAGCTAGATATATGGCCAGGGACAAGTTACTTAACCCTTCTAAGCCTTGCTTTCTCTAGTGTAACATAGATCTAATCACAGTACCTAAAGGACAGAGTGGTTTTAAGAGTTAAGAGAGAGAATAAATTCATCATATTTACAGTATCTGTGATATAACTAGTACTCCACACATGTTAGACAGTAATACAGTAATATAACTAACACAAACAAAAATAGCCTGTGATAACGAAAAACTCAAAATCCAGGCCTCTTAACTCCATGGATACATTTTAGTCAGAATCGCTGCCTCTGTTGTGAGACATTTTCTTTTACAGAGTGAGACACAGGCAGTTCAGTGGAATAACAGCACACTTTCTCTCACCATGACTGTGCAATAGATATACTACCTCATTCTAAAAAACACAAGGTGTTATTTTCTTTCATAAAACTTTGTGGGATAAAAACACGATTACCATGTAACCATGCATTAGAAACTTATTATAATTATATATTAGAAAACTAAGTGAAAGGCACAATGAGAATTTGTAATTACTTTCAATTTCTCCATCGAGTCCCTGGAGAAGGTTTTACAAGCTGCATCAATTTGCTTTCCTATCACACCAAGAATGGATTCCTGTTCAGTCTCCAGACAAAGAAGTTGATCCTTGAGCTGCAATCTGGCCTCTTCCATCCTCCTTAAGTGCTCTTCTTCATCGCTTATATGTTTCTCCTAGAGCATTGATAAGAAAGAAAAACAATTATTAAGTGGAGACCAGAAACAGACGTGTAATATCTGCACAACCCACTCAAAGAAGTGTATCAGAAAACAGATCTGGCTCTGTCACTCCCTTTACTAAAATAAAACATTCTGCCTACTCATTAAGTGAAGTTAAGTTATAGAGAATTCATAAGTAAGGCATTGAGAGAACTGGTGAGTAGATACTTGGCAAGGAAAATTATAGTAATTTAGTAAACAAAAGAAGTTGAAAAAAAAAAACCTTTACCATTTCATGCCATTAATGGGTTGAAGAGTAAAAGCTGATGCTACAAACTGACTTTGAGCTTTCAATAAATATTAGTAAAACACTAAAAAATGCAAAACGTCAAATAAGATAGTGTTAGTTTTTCATTTCAAAAAAATATGTTACTACCTTAATCTTATCAAAACATTATTTTTAAAAAGCCTAAGTTTTCAAATGCAGTCATACTGCATAAAAGCTTTGAGTCATGAAAATCTGATAAAAGAACGATGGAGGCACTTTTCAAGTAAGCAATAATATTTAATGAAAAGGGATTCTTTTGGAACTCTGTAAGAGATTACAAGGACTTGGGGGTGTCCTATGGCAAAACAATTTTCAATCATAATGATTACACAATTTCCTTACTAGATAAATTCAAGTCATACTGCACAAAGCTTGTAGGGGGGAAAAGAAACAGAATCACTAGAATTATAAGTGTAAACAATAAACCAGAAAGTCCTGATAGCTGGCTAGTTTTGCTTTCAGTCATTACAGTAGCCTGATCATCTTTACCTATCCTAGTAAATACAACACAAGCAGGAAGATTAAGTGGTCAACAAACTCTGCTTGAATTTAAAATAACAAAGAGATCTAGCTGCTTGATGAAAATTAATCTTGAAAGGTAGAAAGGTATTTTAGCAGAATACCATCAATTCAACTTACTTTTAAAAATGAATAGAATACTCTCTGCCCAAAAGAAGAATCCTTTCACAAGCTGTCTTCTGCCCTTCTCTCCAGCCTCATGACCCTCTTTTACACTTTCATACTTTAACTTCTTGCAGCTTCTGAGATATGCCTACCTGTGTCTCCTCCAACCAATCTGATGTGTATAACTGTGCTTGAACTTGTAGTATTTCAGAAGGAGCTGGTAGGCAACTGACAGCATTTATCTTGATGAGTACATCATTGCAGTCTGGATCTCAGCTTTGTAAACTAAGGAACTGGGTTTTCTTTTCTTTGTGGTACTCTAAATGGAGTCATTCAGCAGTAGAGTAACATTAAGCTCACAAGAGACTAATGTACAAACTAGAATGCCACTCAATTAATTACATGAGTTTACAACGAGAACCATAACTGCCATATGGATCAAAATGCCTGTGTCAGCATGACCAGTACATTTTCTCCTTGTAGACCAATCTAGATGGGAAGGCAAATTATAACCAGAATGTTGTTTAAGTAACAGAAAATCAGAGCAGGGGGAGTTGTTTTATGAAGCAATGTTTAAATGCCATCATGCTAATAGCAGCCTGGTGTGTCCATCTACACATTAGGGTTTTAGGAACCACAATAACAAGAATGTTCCATTCTCCTGGGATGGCGAGTGCTGATGTACATCTCCCTAACTTTCTTCTTTGTCCACATTCAGATTCTGACAAACTCTCCCTTCTGATTGATTCATTTCTTTAGATATATTGATATCTTCACTGTCTTGCTCTCATCTAGGAATCTTTTCTAAAAAATTAACATCCTGGCTCTGAAAAATATTTGATAATTTTATAATTTACCTACTAGAAAGCAACCTTACTGTCAAGTCTCTAAGTGAGGCTACTTGGCTGTGTATTGTTGCTACATAACTACAAGAACGCATCAAGACAAACACTATTTCTTTCTGAAATAACGCAACATCAGAGTTGTACACAACAGATCAGTCAGAGGACACACATGTAAGCAAACCTGCCAACTATACTTCTTATCCTTCAAGACCCAGTCTCCCTTCTTTCCTGATTTCCCAACACAGCATGTTCCCACAGCACATTATTTATACCATAGTTTTTAAAATAAATGTATCAAGCTGTAATATAATTGTTTTTGCACCTGTCTCCCTCAATAAACTATTTATCTAGAAGACTATAAAACATGTTAATAATCATTTTTAAACTCCTCAACTTTGCTGAATAAGTGATTTAAACCATGTTTTGAAGGCTCCAACACTATAAGGATCCATTCTTCAATTTACCATGCAGATCTATATCAGAGACTACTGAGGTTGCTAGGAGGTTCCCTCTACTCATACATAGGCCTTCAGACTGCTTCAGTGTTCTCGCTCTTGCGATGTTAATAAAATTTTTTAATTAAGTTTATTGGGGTAACATTGGTTAATACAATTATATAATTTTCAGGTGTACATTATAATTTGACATCTGTATATTCTATTGTGTGTTTACCACCCAAAGTCCAATTTCCTTCAGCTACCATATATTTGACCCCTTTACCCACTTCGCCCTCCCCCTAGAACTCTATATTTGACCTCTTTTACCCATTAAAAAAGAAAATACTCTCCCAGGGGTTACTGATATATTTAGAGAGTAACTGTCCAGAATCTAAAGCCAGGCAATTCGCAATGACGTTCTAACCGATCTTTCTGTTCTCGTCTGCCTCATATCCATCTTTCTTTTATCCACTATCACTCTTTTGTGTTGTTATTTGATTCTTATTAAGAAGAAGACAAAACTATTTCCATATTTTGGTATTCTTAAAATGTTTATATTGTCAAAAAAGGCTCTATAAGTTCAGTCTCTTTAGCAAAGACTGAAAATTTCATTACTCACGTTACTATCCTCCATGAGACAATTAGCATGCCACATCTAATCTCCTTTGAAGAAAGACTCAAAGAACTGTGAATTCACATGAACCTTAGAGATCATCGGGTTCAACTACCTATTCTTTTAGGAATCCCTTCTTTTTACATTTCTGACAGATGGTAATCCAACCCTTACGTGACCAGCTCAAGTTTCAAGGAACAGAGGACTTGACAAAACTATAAAATCTCTCCATTAATCCAAGTGCTATACTCAAGAATTAAAGTAAATAAATGAATCCCCTACCCTTACTAAATCTTCTAATGTTCCAGGTAGAAGTTCATGTTCTTTTATTCAACTAGGTTTCAGACACCACACCGTACTGGTTCTCCATCCTCTGTGTGTGCTCCGAGATGCTACAGCTAAGAGTCAAGTTCTTCCATTCTATACTTAAGCAATTGTAATTTCATTTATTCACTCATTCAACAAATTTTTATGGAAAGCCTACCATGGTAAGACATTCTTCTGGGTGTTAGGGACAGAGTGAATGAGATAAATAAGATTCCTGCCCTCGTAGAGCCAATAAATATCTCCTTTAAAGTTCATCGGTTTTATTTTGTCCCATTCTTACGGCATAAGGATATCTACTTGTACACTAATCGTGGCACCCAAAAAGTCAGCTCTTTCTCTCCCAGTTTCATGTTTCAGAAATATCTCTACCTATGGAGCAAGCACAGCTACTTCTGTAGGAGGGTGGGAAGCTGGCTGACATTAATTTATACATCCTGTCTGGTTTGGAGCATGTGGATTAATAAGGGCTGATGATCCGTTTAGGCACTATCATGACTATTCCCTGGTCTTCTAGTGAATTCAAAGACAACATTAATTCTAAAACAAAAAGCTACCATATTTCTAAAGAACCAAAGCAGCTTCTCTGTGGGGGGCATAGGAGGTGGGGATAGGTATAGATAGAGCTGACCGAGTAGTCTACGTGATCCAAGAAGAGAGATATTCTAGACGATGGCTGAGTTTGAGAAAGAACCTTAGAGAAAAAAACCCAGCCCTTAATCTTACAAATAAGGAAACCAAAGTTTAGACAGAATAAACAACATGACTACAGTCAAAGAGCCTATGACCCATAACCTGAGTCCTCTGACTCCCTGACTTGTGCTCTCTATTAAAATGCTAGAAAGGTCAATGTGAAAACCTCAGGAACATTATCAGCAGATTATATGAGGACTAACATAGTTTTAAGTAAAAAGAATAACTCAAAAATATTTCTGAATGAGCCTTATTATTACAAAAAAAAAATATATGACATATTGTAAATTCAGAATAGACCACAAAAAAAAGGGAAAAAACCCATCAAGCACGCACAGTATCCTAAAAGTTTTAGGGGCTATCCGACTACACTGGAGACATACTCTGTGTACACATACAATCTGCTCTTGGCAGATTTTATTTAAAAAGTATACAAATCACACACTAAGCATGTGTAGTTCCACTATCAAGACAGTAAAGATTTTAAGAAGCTTCCATTTCAGGACAGGAAAGGCTTATATTACTGACATTTGTGTCTAAAGAAAATAAAAAATACTGCTCACAATCTCATCTCTCTCTCTCTCTCTCTCTCTCTCACACACACACACACACGCACACGCACACGCACACGCACACGCACACGCACACGCACACGCACATGCATGCACACACACACAGCTGATTGGCTTGATCAATGGACCTGCAATGCAAAAGACAAGAAATGTTCCTCTAATTATATATTTGTGTTTCAGCATGCTCTTTACAACTCAGAACTCTCACTTTCCCAAAAGCTGTTAAATATTATAAGGAGACACAATCTTAATGGAAATACAATAACTTCAGGAAAACTAGAGCATATCCAAAATGTTATCTCCTTAGTAAAAGCTTATGAAATCCCTTCAATATCTTAAGAGGTTCATAAAAGCTGCTTTATTTCCAATATGGCTATTATATGAAATAAAGAGTTCTTCACACACTTTAACAGAAACATTATGGTAAATAAAACACACATACAACTAAATAAATCATTAATTTACAAAGTTAATGTTCTTCCTTTACTGAAAACTAAGTTGAATAAGCAAGTGTGACAATATTTCAGCCCCAAGGCCATTTTTAATGCATCAGCAGTGGGTTGGGAAGAGACTAGATAA